AAGGCATCTGACCCCGACTGTTGTCTAATTTGAGAAGGCGCTGGAAGAAATGATGTCGAAACTGTGATTTGAAGAATTGGAGGGCCACAGAGAGAATGATGGGTGACTTCACTGAGGTCAGGGCTTAGGTGTGAAGTGAGTGTGTGCCTGGTCTGTGTGCATTGGGCAGGGAGAAGAGTGCCGGGTGATCTTTCACGGCAGGCGATAGCTTGTGATCCATGAGACTTTGGGATAAACAAGCATAGGCGGTGACTGAGGAAACAAAGGTCTAACGCAGGTGAGCCTGCCAGGGAAGAGGGTAAGATTGGGTGGGACTGGCAAGTATGGTAAGTGAGTCCCAATAAGAATCTGCCTATTTCTGGGAAGGTGGTTCATCGGGTAAAGGGCATGTGTGTGTGGTCTGGACATGGGGAGGCCGTGGCGGAGAAAGCCTCCCAGAGAGTAAGAAGAACTCCTAGAAGGGTCCATGTGCGTGAGAACATGGCATGTTCATGGAGCAGAGAGGTTCATGCGACTCCTGAAATTTGCCCTCAGACTACCCACTAAGAGTTTAGACAAATCAGTAGAGTCTGAAACACTTTGGGAAAGAGGCAGGGCCTGAGACGTCTGGAGAAGCAGAAAGGTCCCAAGAAGCCCTTCCAGTAGAAGGAAGAATGACGCAGAAGCAGGCACAGGAACCTGAGATGGGGGCTCGGGGAGGGCAGGACAGGGCGGCGAAGAAAGCATTTACAGAAGCGTGTTGAGAGGGAGAGGCCAGGAGGCAGCCAGGAACAGGAGACCTGGTGCGGAAATCTTCACAGGAGTAGCCAACCACTAGTCCAAATCTGCTTAATCCGTGCAGTAACTTCATGACGGGGATGAGGCAATGGAAGGGTGGCCTTAGGAAAAGATGAGACCCAGTGTGAGGGGTGCAGATATTGTCCTGTGCTTCCAGAATGCTCCCACTCAAGTGTGTGTAAAGGCCGGCACCCAAGGGAGAAGTACAGGAACATTTTGATGAGGATATCCTGTTTAAAAGTGGGGACATGAATGCTGTTTCCCCAAGAATGACAGATGGACCGAGGCAAGGTACAGTAGAGGTTGGCCATTGCTCATGCAGACACCTTCCCTGGGCTCCTTCTGCTTAGGGCTGGGTTTCTGGTCATTCCCGGATCGCCCAGTTCTTCACTGCTCAAACACTGGAGATGAAGGACAACGAGAGGTGCTGGGAACTGAGTTCTGGTCAGAGAGCGTTATTAGCTGGTGATATTAAAATGACCAGAACCCCAGGAGAAAGTAACCAACTTTATGTAGAGTTCCTAATAATAGTAAATAATACATATCCAGACTTAGAAGAAAAGATTTCCAAAACTGATGAACTAAATCCGTTCTAATCGCCTGGTTCAGAATTCTGAAATAGTGCGGTGAGCTTAAGAGTCATCTGGGTTGTGGGGAAGAGTGTGAGCACTCATCTAAGGTAAAACCATTGGTCTCTCCATGACCAGAGGAAAGAAACTAGAAGACACATGGACACTGTTAGTTAAAAGCAGAAACAGTCCTAAGAACCTCAGCTTCCATGACCCAGAGACCAGCAGACTTGGATGGTGCCCAGCTACCACTACCAACTGCTCTGAAGCAGATCACAAGGAAAGATCCTAAACAGAGTGGGAGAAACATGTGGAACAAAACTCAAAATCATACAAATGGTCTACGAGAGACTACGTGGCCCTTAATCACCCTTCTGGCCTGGAAACGAACTCAACCTTTTGGGCACAATTTTCAACCAAACAGGAGACAGGTATGTACAGTGAATGGTAAGTCGGCCTAGGGAGGAATGTACTCCTTAGAAGATTAACCATCGGAGATCACAGGGGCAGCATTTGCCAAGAGACGGAGTTCAGAAGGCAGGAAGGATTAGGAAGGGAGGCATGGAAACTGGAAACACAGTGAAGAAGTGGGGTTACGCCGTTATGGGTATTATCTTGTGGGGGGTGCAATCCCCACAATGACATGGAACAAGATGTGTGTGAGCTGTGGCAGGGAACACTGGCACCCTCTGTAAACCCAACTCAATACAAAAGTTACATCTTTCTAAAAACCTTGTCCGAGGAGCACCGGCCCAGATGCAGACGCATTGCTCCCACCCTTAGATGTGGCAATTGCATCTAGCCCAGACGTCTGCATTTTAAAACCGAAGTCCCAGGTCCCTCGCCTGTCTACAATACTGCCCGTATAAGCGCATTTACCAATGATTCCGGGGAAGAGAGGGAAGAGCAGAAGATACCCAAAGACACAAGTCTCTTTAACCTGAATACTGTGAAACAGCTCCCAAGTGAGTGACGTTGATCTCTACATTGGCGGAGGAAGATGAGTGCTTGGAAAGCTACTCTGAGTGACTGAATGTAAATACAGGTGGTGAGCATGAGCATGGGCGTGGGGGTGGGGTGGGGAAATGAGGGGAGCCCTATCATTTTCACAATGCAAAATAAAAATAAAGCAAACCTGCGTGAGGGCTTTGCTGGCCAGGGAGGCCCTGAAAATAGGCATTGGTGCCTGCGTAATGGAAGAGGGGGGTTGGTGATGAGTACCCAACCAATTCAAGTCATAGCAGCACTTTGGGATGTGAACAGCTGGCTGAGACTTTTAGATGGCTCTAAAGGGGCATGGTCTACAGCTTGTGTAGGCCCACCCCTCGGAGTTGTAGGCTCAAGCAAGCATATACATGGCGGTGTTCCAAATAGCCTATGTGTGCACACTTTAAAGTTATAGATCACGCTAGTGAACTGTTGGATAAAATGGGCTAGATGCCCCTATCTTGACAGAGTTATGCCCTCTGTGGATGACTATACCCCAGATCACGGCAATGCAAGGAAAACCAGCCCCAGACTTCCTGCTCCCACCTTCTTGTCTACCTTCTTTTTCCCCCACCTCTGACTCCTGCTCACATCCCAAGGGTCCTGCTATACATGATGGGCACCACAGCATCCATGTGCAAGCTCCACCAACACTCAAAGAGCTGTTGGTGGTCACCTCTTTATAGGATTAGGGGTCACCCTCCCGAAGAAGGCCCAGGATCGAGGCTCCCATGATCACTGGAAGTGAGCAGGAGTCATATGGACAGGAAACTCCAGGTCTAGACGAGGAGTGTGAGCCAGTGAACTATTCGCCCTGTGGGAACATGACTGGAAAAAAACGGACAAGACCAACCATGGTTGGGTTCTCTAGAGTATGCGGTCCCAAGCAGAGACCCTCGGACCCAGCTAGAAATGCTCAGGACAGACTGCGTTTGTTAGGTGGGACTGAGTCAGTTCCAACTCACAGCAACCTTATAGATAACAGAATGGCACGTCTGTGCCTGCGCCATCTTCGTAGCCATTGCTATATAAGGTGAAGGTGGTACCTTTTGCTTCCATGGGGAGAAAGACAGGCTTTCTACTCCCATAGAGAGTTACAGTCTCAGAAACTCACAGGGGCAGTTCTACCCTGTCCTATAGGGTCACTGAATCAGAATCGACCCGAGGACACAGGGTTTGGATTTGGGGCATGCGCCTGCAGATCCGCCATTCCCCCACCCAGTTGCTCTTTCCTCTCAGGCACAAGCTTTGTGAACCATGGACTGTGCCCACCATCTCCCACCACTACCTCTCATGGTATCTGCAGTTTCATTAAGACTCCACTCCTTTGGCCTTTTTGATCTTTGAGTCAACAAATATTTGTTGAGTTTCTTTCATATTCAAGCCATCACCAAAAAAGCAAATGTGAAAACCCCACCATTTTAACCTTCAGAGAGGTTGCCATGTAATAAACAAGATCAGATGGATCCAGACTGATCCACACTTCAAGGCAGAATGTGATCAGCTACTGGGCTTCAGAAGATGGGGCTCAGGAAAATCTACAGCAAGAAGAGGGCGTTTGAAATGGCCTTTAAAGGGCCCATCAAAGGTGGGGGTGATGGCTCAGAACGTGTCCAAGGGGCGGTCCCACTGGACTGGAGGTCGGGAAGTGCAAGCGAGTGTGGCAGTCTCAAATCCCTACAGGAAAGGGATGCAAAGAGCAGGTCCTATGTAATACACAAGGCAATGTGGGGTGGTATGGAACATTTTGGGGAAGGGCGGTCCATGATCCATGTCAGGATTCAGGAAGAGTAGACTTGAAGATGAAGTTAGGCATGCAGGTGGATTTGAAGGAAATGGGAAATGCTTATGAGACAATTGTTACAAAAAAGAAAAGAAAAGAGAGATGATTGTTTGCTTTTGCCTTTCCATCCCCTCTGCTTCCATTCTAGTAGATACTCTCCTTGCTCCTCACTGATCCTGTTAACTGTGGCTCCCCAAATTATGCCAACCACCGCCAGTTGTCCCGGGGTTGATTCAGACTCAGTAACCCTCTTTGGGTCACAGTAATGAAACCAAACGCCCTGCCGACGAGTCGATGCCTACAGTTAGCAGCTCAGCACGTCCCCACCATACCACCAGAGTCCCTGAGGGTCACAGTAGAACTGTATTTTGCAAGGTCTTCAGCGGCTGATTTTTCAGAAGCACGGGGTCAAAACTTTCTTCTAAGGAGCTTCTGTGTGGGCCAGAATCTACAACGATTCAGCCAACAGCCAAGTGCGTGGACTGTCTGCACTGCCCAGGGATTGCAGATCTATCTGACCCAAACCATGGTTTTATCAGTCATCTCATATGCACATACAAGGTCGATAGTGAAAAAGCAAGCTGGAAAAAGAATGGATTCATTTGAACTCTGGTGCTGGTGAAGAATGGACTGCTGCAATAATGAATGAACTGTTTTTTTGAAAAAACACTATCATACTATTCCTTAGAAGGGAGAATGACTAGACTGCTATTTTTCACTTTGGATAGATCTCCAGAGAAGGCCATTATGTTTAGCACAGAATTTGTGGGAATGAGATGTATTTCTCAATGAGTTGAGACGATACAATAACCACAACAATAGATTCACACCGACTGTGAAGACGGCACAGAACGAGGCACTTAATTCTCTTATCTGTAAAGTTGTCATGCCCTGGGTCCTGTTTCATGGTAACTAACACCAACACCAGAATTGGCTGATTATTGGACCAAGGTCTGGGTGAGAAGCCATGAAACGAGGTAGTAAAAAGACATTCCGGTGTTTAGAGGCTGTGGTCCGTGAACGTAAAGACAGTCAGCACAGCTGGCTTGGATGGGAGGTGAAGTGTTGGGGATGCTGCATTTTGGATGGGGGTGGAATATTGATGTGGGAGTGCCTCGGAATCAGTTCCATTTCCCAGATTATGGAGCTCAGGAAATAAAACAGTCCTGCAGACTGTATTAGCCTATCTTCAAATTCAGAGTGGAGGGCTGAACATTTAAGAATGAAAGAGATCCATAAGAAATAGAATGGAGAGGTAAGAATGAACGTTGGAGGCACCCTGGCAAGATTCCATACGAACGGGCTAATGTGGCTGGAAGATACGATGCCCACAGCTCATCTGTGCTGCCATCTGACCTGACCCGAAGGATTGGAAATGGAGCCCGGGCTCTGGCAGAGAGTAGGGACGTCTGTCCTTGCACAGATCTAGGTACTGATTTGCTCTGAATGTTTCCAGAAACATCCCCTCTACACACGCCCCGCTGAAGACCAGCTTCAAACCTGTGGCCACCTTCTCAGAAGAAGTCTAAGGAACAGTGTTTGCCCATATCGCTTACCTGGCAGGAGAGACAGCAGCCAACACCAGAGGTCCATGGCTTCTCACCAAGCAAGGGCTCATCCGAGCGCTCCTGGGGTGGGGGCAGGGACCCACTGCTCACCCAAGATCCCTTCAGGGTCTGAACTTGTTTCCTGGCCCCCACGCAGCGTGAGGCTTGAAAATGAGGAAATGATAACTTGTGCTGTTTGCTAAGTCGTCTTATGCTAAAAAGAAAACACCAGCCAACCAAAGCAGAAGTCAACAGCGTAGACAAAAACATGTGTTCAGGGATGATGGGTTACCCAGGTTCAAGGGTCATGGGCAGCTTCTTAGGACTCTCAGCAACCCCCAGGCCTGACATCCCCATCCTCAGCACTCTGTCTTAGAGGAGGAGACCCCTCTACTTTACCTCGGAGCCGGAGTCATTTGCTTTAACCCTGTCTTCAGCATGAAAGAGCCTCTGATCAATTCCTCCTCTGGGAATGCGTGGAACTCAGCTTAGGCCTTCAGCGAGAAGGTGCTCTTGCAGTCCTTAAACCAATGAAATTAACACGACTCATTGAGGTGGGGTGGGTGTTTCTTCGTGGGGACTCCAGGGGCGACAAAGCAAAACTGCTCGGCAGGATTTTCCAGCTGTATTCTCTCTGAGGATCCCTGGCGACAGAGTGGCTTATGCATTAGACAAAGTCATCAGTTAAAGCCCACTAGCTTCTCCACGGGAGGAAGAGAAGGCTGTTTGCCTTCAAAAGCAAAAGGGCCAGTTCTACTCTCTATGATAGGGTCGCTCTGAGTTGGAATCAATTCTAAGGCAGTGGGTTGATTTGGGGTTCAATCTTTCTGGTAGCTGTTATCCAGGCCTTTCTTTTATGGCAGTGGGTGGCTCTGAACCTCCAACCTTTAGGTTAGTAGCTCAGCTCAAACTGTTTGCATCAGTCAGGAATCTGTTCTTACCAGTCACCAATGAACTCCTTTGAATATCTTGGGCACCTACTTTGGGGGCCCTACTCACTAACTACTGGACTTAGAAAAATCCAGTGCCTTTCTCTAGAATTTGATTTCTTTGCCTGTAAGATGAAAAGTGGGCCTAGAATTCTATCCAGTACAGCATTATTCCTGAGGTCTTATCACAGCTCCCCTAGGACCTGGTCTCCACCATCCCTCATCTCCCCCGACCACCTCCATATAGGCCCTGTTTTCTTGCAGGGGGCCAGGCTACTGTCCAGTGACCACAGGGACAATGTCGGAGTCAAGGTGTGACAGGCCACATCACAACATCTCTAGAAGAGTGATTTTCCATGAGGCTGAGGGCTCAGGGATGAGGTTCAGAGAAGAGAGAGATGCAGAGGTCATTGGTAATTAGATAACCATGGAAAGACGTGGCTTCTAGTTCTGCCTTAGAACTTTGCAGCTCTGAGCAAGCTTCTCATAAAATAGAGATGATCCCTACCCTGCCTATGTCACACAGCTATTGTGAGGTAAAAATATAGGAATGGCATTGCTTTGAGAGCGTTTTTTCATGAGGAATCCTGCAGGCTGTGACTTATGGGGGATTTCCAGGCATCCCTCTGGTGTGACAAAGTACCTATGTTCCCAGGCACTGTCTCCAGGCCTGGCCGTTTCCTGTCGACCCAGAGGACTTAGATTATGTGTGCAGGAGGGTGTGACTGATAACCTCTAGCTTCCCTAGGGTCTCCTGCATGTCCCCTCCCCACTCACCCACACACTCTAGATTCATCACATGCTCCCGCGAATGTAAAGCAACAACATCCGCAATGGAAATTGAATATGGGGCTCACAGCAGGTGCAGAGGAAGTGCGTGGGGGCCAGGCAGCCTGCCCCACCCGGCCCTTCGGCGTCCTCATGTGCCAGGCAGTTGTAGTTGTGATTTCCTTCCGTCATCAACGGGGCGAGACCTCCGCCGGGGCCAGCCCTCCGCAGCCACAGACCTCCGGTTGGAATGCTGATGGGCTCAGCTGAGATCAGTCTCTCTCCTCCCCTCCTCTGGGGTTCTTCCTGGTGCCCTATAGCTGGGCTCTGTGATCCCCCTCGACTTGAGGCCTTGGCTTGCCCTGAGAAAAACGGATAAAGTATGTGAAGGTGCATAGTA